GCCCTATTGATTTAATTGACAGCACTATTTCCTCAGCCATGGAGACTAAGTACAGCAACATGTGATCTAAAGAACTGTCCACTCATGGCCAGGTGTGGTAGCTCACGCCTGTAATCACAGCACTTTAGGAGGCCAAGGCAGGTGGATCACTTGAGGTTAGGAGTTCAAGACCAGGATGGCCAACACGGCAAAACTCCATGTCTACTAAAAATATGAAAATTAGCTGAGCGTGGTGGTGCCCACCTGTAATCCCAGCTACTCGGGAGGGTGAGGCAGGAGAATCGCTTGAACCTGGAAGGTGGAGGCTGCAGTGAGCTGAGATTGCGCCACTGCCCTCCAGCCTGGGCAACAAGAGTGAGACTGTCTCAAAAAAACAAAACAAAACAAAAAACTTTGTTCTCTGCTGCTTCCCTCTGGTAATGTTCTGCCAAGTACGTTAGTACGTCCACTGACACTTTTTCCTCCTGCAAAGGTAACTGAGCAATTGCTATTTCCCTTATGGAAAACGGAGTATAAATTGGAACATATCTAGGCCAATGGAGTCATTCAGAGTCAACAAATGTTATACAGCATATTTTATTTTCAGTAGCTTAATTTTCACTTCAATTTTTTTTTTTTTTTTAGAGACAAGGTCTCACTCTCATCCAGGCTGGAGTACATTTGTGTGATCTCAGCTCACTGCAACCTCCACCTCCTGGGTTCAAGAAATCCTCCCACCTCAGCCTCTTGAGTAGCTGGGACCACAGGCGCATGCCACCATGCCTGGCTAATTTTTGTTATTTTGTAGAGACAAATTTTCACTGTGTTGCCCTGGCTGGTCTTAAACTCCTGGGCTCCAGCGATCCGCTTACCTTGACCTCCCACAAAGTGCTGCGATTGATTACAGGCATGAGCTACTACGCCTGGCCCTCATTTCTACTTTTTGATTATTTTAAGATTTTGTTTGTTTGTTTATTAGAGACAGGGTTTCAACCGTGTTGCCCAAGCTGGTCTCAAACCCCTGAGCTCAGGCAATCCACCCACCTTGGCCTCCCAAAGTGCTGGGATTACAGGCGTGAGACACCACATTCAGCCCTCATTTCTACTTTTTGATTATTTTAAGATTTTGTTTGTTTGTTTATTAGAGACAGGGTTTCAACCGTGTTGCCCAAGCTGGTCTCAAACCCCTGAGCTCAGGCAATCCACCCACCTTGGCCTCCCAAAGTGCTGGGATCATAAGCGTGAGCCATTAATCCAGCAACTCAAGAGGCTGAGGCAGGAGAATCACTTGAACCCAGGGGGCAGAGGTTGCAGTGAGCGGAGATCCCGTCACCTCACTCTAGCCTTGGCAACAGAGCAAGACACAGTCTTAGCTTACTGCAATCTCTGCCTCCTTGGTTCAAGCAATTCTTCTGCCTCAGCCTCCTAAGTAGCTGAGACTACAGGCGCACGCCACCATGTCCAGCTAATTTTTATATTTTTTAGTCAAGACGGGGTTTCACCATGTTGACCAGGCTGGTCTTGAACTCCTGACCTCAGGTGATCCACCCACCTCGGCCTCCCAAAGTTCTAGGATTACAGGCGTGAGCCACCGCACCCGGCGTTTCCCATAAATTTCTAATACAGAGGTAGACACAAGGTTTCTGCAAAATGAACAAGTCATGTCCTTTCCTTAGAGTGTCCCACAGCCCTTGCCTGGACAGGCAAATTCTGAAGCTTTTTTGTCTTGCAACAATTTTTGACCTGGACATCACCATTAAAGTGGTACTTGGCCTTTGAATTTCTGTCTTATCCTTGCGAAGTTTTTTCTTTTCTTTTTTTTTTTCCTTTTCCACCTACACAGTGTGCTGCACAGGTTTTTAATGATATTCCCAAACACAAATCATGAGATGAGTGTGCCATGTTGAGTAAGAAATTGTTTCCAATTCAAAAAGGTAGAGCCTTTCTCACTGGACTCCTCCAAAGGCAAGCACCGGTCTGGAAAAAGAATAAAGTGGCACTTAGCAGCCTGGGAGCTGCAGCACATCCACCGCTCTCAGCAAGAATGATGCTATGACCTCACTGAGTACTCAACATATGGGGAAGAGGGATGGGTTTACCTCTGCTGGAGCAGTTCTTAGCCCCAGAGTGCCAGTGGCAGTAGAAAAGTAATTTTATGAAAGCCTAAAGCAGCACTACCTCCCACAAGACAAAGCAGCAGAGGTGAAATTAACTCAAGGCTGCAGAGCAAAGCCCCCTACAGAAGAGAGGCCACTGGGGGTTTGAGGGCTCTCCTTAAGATAAAGCTGCGACCTTCAATTTAAAGGCCAGGGGAGGCCGGGTGTGCTGGCTCACACCTGTATTCAGGAGTTCTAGACCAGCCTGACCAACATAGTGAAATCCTGTCTCTACTTAAAATACAAAACATTAGCTGGGTGTGGTGGCGGGCGCCTGTAATCCCAGCTATTCAGGAGACTGAGGCAGAGAATTGCTTGAACCAGGGAGGCAGAGGTTGTAGTGAGCAAAGATTGCACCACTGCACTCCAGCCTGGGTGAGAGCGAGACTCTGTCTCAAAAAAAAAAAAGAATTCCACATACCAAACTAGTCCCAGAAATAAATATGTAACTTATTAAACAATAAAATAATAGCTTAACAATAGCCAAAAAAGTTAAAAATTCAGAAATATTTGCTTTCCCTATGAAAACTAAGGATAGCCAGGCATGGTGGCTCTTGCCTATAATTCCACCATTTTGAGAGGCCAAGGCAGGAGGACTGTTTGAACCCAGGAGTTCCAGAGCACTGTGGACAACATAGGGAGACCAGGTCTCTATAAAAAATTAAGAAATTAGATAGATGTGGGGCTGGGCATGGTGGCTCACGCCTGTAATCTCAGCACTTTCGGAGGCTGAGGGGGGTGGATCACAAGGTCAGGAGTTCAAGATCAGCCTGGACAAGATGATGAAACCCTGTCTCTACTAATCCTAGCTACTCGGGAGGCAGGGAATCTTTTGAACTCAGGAGGCAGAGGTTGTAGTGAGCCAAGTTCTCACCACTGCACTCCAACCTGGGAGACAGAGCAAGACTGGGTCTCAAAAAAAAAAAAATTAGATGGGTGTGGTGGCTTACACTTGTAGTCCCATGGACCTGGGACATGTAGGCTGCAGTGAGCAGTGATCAAGGCACTGCACTCCAACCTGAGTGACAGATGGAGACTGTCTCGAACAAAACAAACTAAGCAAAAAAACTTAAGGATAGCACCCTCAAATTTGTCCCTAAGTTGTCATTCAAAGCCTTGGACCCCCACTGAAGGAATTCCCTAGTACAGACACTAGATAAAACAGAAGTGACGACTGCATTCTAATTTTCCGCCTTTGTTCTATGTTTCTTCTGAAGGGCTTGTAAAAAAATCACTTCCTCTATCCAGGAACATTTTTCTACTGACCCCCAAATTTCAAGCAAAGCTTTTCTTCCCTAACCAATTGCAAATCATAAAATCTTTAAGCCCCAGCTTTGAAATATCCCACGCTTCCAAGCCTAAACCAATAAATAAACTGTCTTGATTTTTAATTTTGCCCGTAGCATCTGCATTCCTAAAATTTACCCCAGCTTCTAAAAATCTCTGCCTGAAATCTAGTGGGGGAGGTGAGGATTTAAGACTTTATATCTGTGTGGCCCTCAGTGATTGGGTCCCTGCAATAAAAGCCTTTTTCACATCACTTCAAACCCCAGTGTAAACGCCAGGTTTTCCAGGACAAGGCAACTCCATCATAGTTCTGTCCTCAACCCCTGGGGCTCTGGTTGGCTGGAAATAGGCCTTCTCCCACATCTTTCTCACTTTCATGTAGGAAAGAAGTAGTTTCCTTTTTTTTTTTTTTGGGGGACGGAGTTTCACTCTTGTTACCCAGGCTGGAGTGCAATGGCGCGATCTCGGCTCACCACAACCTCCGCCTCCCGGGTTCAGGCAATTCTTCTGCCTCAACCTCCTGAGTAGCTGGGATTACAGGCATGCATCACCATGCCCAGCTAATTTTTTGTATTTTAAGTAGAGACGGGGTTTCACCATGTTGACCAGGATGGTCTCGATCTCTCAACCTTGTGATCCACCCGCCTCAGCCTCCCAAAGTGCTGGGATTACGGGCTTGAGCCACCGCGCCCGGCCCTAGTTTCCTTTCTTAAAATCAAAACTGTTTATCATAAGGGTGTATACCTTCACAGACAGCAAAAAGTTAATTTTTCTGAATATTTTTATCAGCCGGGTAGAGTGTCTCACAGCTGTAATCTTAGCATTTTAGAAAATAAGGTGGAGGGATTGTTCCAGGCTAGGTGTTCAAAACCAGACTGAGCAATGGAATGAGACCATGTCTCTATGAAAAGAATAAAAAATAGCTGAGAATGGTGGTACCTGTCTGTAGTCCTAGCTACTCAGAAGGCTAAGGTAGGAGTGTAATTTGAGCCCAAGAGTTCAAAGCTACAGCGAACCGATTACATCACTGCAATTCAACCTGGGTAACAGAGGGACACCCTGTCTCCCAAACAGACACACACACACACATATACACACACACACAAATACATATATGTATATAAATCTCATATATTTTACGCATTTTAAATGGTATGGTTATATGTTTCAAAATATATTGCATATTTCTATACAAAATATAAATATATATATTTCTTTTTTTTTTTTTTTTTGAGACAGAGTTTCACTCTT